TTCTGACTTTAATCTCAGAATTCTGACTTTAATCTCAGAATTCTGACTTTAATCTCAGATTCTTTTTTCTCAGAATTCTTACTTTAATCTCAAAATTTTCTCTTTCAAAAAACTGTATAATGGGTAAATAATGAACACCTGCTGTTTCCACGCCTTAAATAATCTGGAGCTGCCCATTAATTTATGAATTAAAATGGAAAATATTTTTTATTATTATCATGTTGAAGCTTCATTGATCAAGTTAAAGGCGAAACTGTGGCCTACTTGTATTACATTTCCACACACAGCATTAGTTTTTACTATGTCTTCCTTAGCTTTTTTTTAAAAAACCGGGGAAATGGATTTGTATGCCAGCAAAGTAAAGACCAGATTATGTTTAAAAGTCTAACCAAAATGTTTTCCTAATCCTAAAACCTCAGGGCAGAGCTTAGTGAATACTTCATAATGGAAAACCAGAGAAATCAGCATGTCATAAATCTCTGCTGGGGAAGATGATACCATAAGGGTTCTCTACAAACCCTGTACAGTTTATTTTTGGAGCAAGAATCTGTTTAAACTCAGTAAGAGCCAATGTAGAAACTATTTATTGAACAACTAGATTAAGTATGTGTAACAAAAGCTCAACTAATTTGCTGGTTGTTGAATCAAATCGTACAGAGTGTGATTGTCTATTAGACTACCAAAAACTGCACTGATACTTTGTTAAGGTAAATCAGAAAACCAGAGTTTCTACAGTAGCCTAATTGAGGCAAATCACAATGACTCTAACCCAGAGCAAAAGCATCTCTGTAGTTGTGGGCTTTTATCATCCTTGATCAAGCCTGATTGTTGTAGAGCTGCCTTTGATTATTTGTTACACTGCTAAGAAATAAGGATACCGTTTTGTTAAAGCCATAGCTGTTCAGCATTACTAATAAAAAATATAATTACATCATAAAAATACTAATTAACACAGTAGAATAATAGAAAATTTTACAGAACCTTCAGTCAACTCATACATGGTGTTGATTATAAATGATGCATCAATAATGGAAAACAGCTAACAGAGTCAGAATAGTGTACTTTTATTATGTTGTTTAGAGACTGGGAAATTGTAGAGAAGTTAAGAAATATTTGGCTCAGGATCTCAAGTGGTTTAAAAGAGAAACCAAAAATAAGGTCAAACAGACAGAAAGAAAAAATGACAGTCTCATTCAAAAATCAGCTTCAGGGTAAACTAGGGATGTCTCAATTCGATACTGACATCTGGCAAAATAAGCTAATATTGGATTTTATTGATCAGGACCTAAAATCTCAGATACTGGCATGCAGATAAAAACACTGTGCTTCTGTCTAAAGTTTATTTAACCAGTTAGTAACCAGGGTTCCTACAG